TCAAAAACGACTCTGTTTCGAATAAAGCCGATCGTCGACTGCCTGGACATTGGAGGCGAAGTGAAAAGAAGAGGTCTTGTCCGAACCATGAGCAGCCTCAGAGCGTTTCGAATCCTGTTGCACCTCTGTGGCTTGACCTTTGCGCTGGCCGCCATTTGTCTCCTTTTGTCAGCGATCCTCACATCTGCCTGGCAAGTGGTGAATATCGAGGAGTCGCACACGTTGCACTACCACGGTCTGTGGTTGAACTGCGTCAGGAGGCTCGGAGTCACTCATGCGAACGACGACACCGGTTGGGCGTGCACCTACAACGTCGGCGACGAGGTAGCTGGCCACGACAAGGAGCACCAGGTGAAAAGTGAGTGAGTGAGTCAAATGGCCAGTTCTCGTTCTTACGCTTTTACTGTTTTCATCAGGATGGCATATGGAAGTTCTTGGCACTTTGTGCGGATCTGTTTTCTTTGGTCTCATCGGAAGCATTTTCTCTTGCCTCATCTGTTGTCCTCGAATCAGCTACGTTGCATGGACTGTGCTTAACGGCATAGCCGGTAAGATTTTACCGTTGCAATCATCACGCTTTAGCCTGTCGACTTTACGTCCACTTCAGCTCTCACTGCTGCAATTGGTGTTACGTACTACTACGTCAAGTCGAACCTACTGGAGAACAAGATCATTGTCTCGGTGACTTCCACTTATGCGGTAGGCGATGAAGATTTTAAAAATTATTTACTTAACAGATGGGTGCTAAGAATATCATCAGATCGAATAGTGGGCAAATCTGACGAGTCAAATGTCGAAATTTAATGTTACACTCTTCAACAGTTTTTGAACAGTTTCTGGATACGTGTTAGAAGGCCAATTGTGAAAAGGTAGTGGAAAGGCGAAAGGCTTTCTTTTGAGTTGACTTCTTTCATCGCCACTAACAATTTGTTATCGTCTCAAGAGTTCACTAGAAGTCCGTTTCAGCCAATTCTGATGATATTCGTAGTTTCAATATCTAAGATAT